AAAAATCCCCATGAAAAACATAATCCCCAATTGTTTTTTTTATTTTTTTGAAATTGTTATTTTTCCCCTTTTTTTTTTTACACTTAAAAAAAAAAAAAAAAAAAAAAAAAAGAATTCTGGAAGTTGCTAAACTCAATGAAATGCAGCATGTTTTCTTAGCTATTTTGTTTCCTATATCAAAATATTTTACAACTACATATGTTGAAAAATATTTTATATGTAATTGCCTACCTATTGTATGTAAAATAATTTATGAAATTGAGTTATTTTGTTATCAGAAGTATAGAGGGCCAAAAATATAAGTACAAAAATTCCAAGAGTATTAGTTTGGAGCAGACGTACATTCAAACGCTACAGATCTAGCATGTTTAAAGTTCTTCATGCAAAGAGAGAGAGTGTTAACTCTTTGCATCTACTGATTCTATCTTTAGGGTAACTACCAACTTTCAAAGTGTTATTGGTGGATAGATTTTATTGGGAGAGTCAATGTATAAAACATTACCTTCCTCATCTTAAACCAAAAATAAATGAGGACTTTAAACTATGTATTACAAAGACATTTCTGGAGATAAAGTTTATGTTCAGGGCGCTATGGGCCACTAAGATGAAAAGGTCTTTGTTTTGTTCACACTCTAGCACCCAAAAGTCCTATTTGGTAAATCTGACTGAAATTTTTTGTGGATTATGCCTTGTCTTAAATTTGACTGTGTTCCATAGTAGTTTTTATTTTAGCTGTACATTAAAAGGAAATGACTGAGTTCTAGAGACAGAGCAAAACCTATTGGGAATTAATAGGTATTTGCTATTAATTAGGCTTGGTCTGAGAATTAATTAGAAGCAAATATTTATCTGGTTGGGTTAGTAGTCTTCATGACATTCAAAACATTACAAACCAAGGTGTTTACAAGTTATGATAAACTATTCCAGCACTTTCCTGGGGCCTAGTATACTAAAAGCACATGACAGCACATGGCTGCAGTTTCCTCCTAGAGGCAAAGCTGCCACCACTACCAGCTTCTGAGTCTGCCTTTTCTCATGACTGAGGGTCTGAGTGCTAGCTGATTTGCTGGTACTATGGGAAATCTGAAGCAATTCACCGAGTCGGAATGAAAAGGACTTACCTATCCTTGATTTCTTAAATCCCATTGACATTTTGCATACATTTCTTTAAACTCTAAAATGAACATTTATTGATTAGATATGAAATGGCTTCATCATTTACATGAAAAGCTAACAGGGCTGTCATTCAATGGGAAACAATAAAGTAATTTACTGTTAGCAACGAGAAAACTTTAAATAATTTTACCTTGTTTCTAAGTGTCTCTTATTAAAGCTTGTGATTTTTACTGATGTAAATAAGTCCAGAAGTATTTGGTTTTGATATAGATCTTTTCGCCACAGCATGGTGGAGAGTTTCATTCTTAGTTAACCTTCAGTACTCTATACATACTATTCTGAAATACTGTGGTGAAATAAGGCCTCGCATCCCTGAGCAGGACGCTACACAGGGGAGGATTAGCTGCATTGGAAGGGTCTTCCACATCCCAGATTTCAAGCATACTGCATCCAGGTCTGAAATAAAAAGGACATACATATATTCATATTAAAGTGCACGTATATATGCAAATTAAGAAATAACTCCTAAATTTCCAGAGACTAATTTAACTAATTAAAAGTTAAAAGAAATCACTTCAGAAATCTTAAGTTCAACATTCAGAATAAAAGTAAAATGAATCATGCTGCAATTTCATGCCCCTTTCCAAATGTCCTAACAAGAACTGTAAAATCTATGGTCAGGAATATATATTTGGAAATGCTTACTTTCAAAATGTTATTTGCCAGGCATCATCATTGTTCAACCACAAGGTCCATTTGTAATTGAATAAGATAACCTGAAGGAGAGCCAATCAAATTCCTGATGAACTCCGTATCTTGGAACATAACTTGCCCAACATTAGTAGGCAAACATGTAGTCCAAGGCAGAAAAAGGGCTTTTATGCAAAGTAGTTTTCTCTAACCGTTTTATTCTGGGCTGGCTGTAAGAGTAGACTAAGTGATATACTCCTTGCTAGAGGATAACCCTTCACAAGAATCATTGATGGGAAGAAGTCAGGCAAGATTGACTTTGAAGTTTTAATATGTACCCTGAGACATAACTCATGTAAAAAAATCTTCCTATTTCCTGTGTAAGGCTTAGCTATGTGTAAGGACTACAACAATCAATGTAGAAAATTTTCTACCAGCAAGTTCCCTATGACCTTCCTGTAGCTAATCTCCTTCTGCAAACATGGTCCAGGCACACATGGGTCTCCTTCCTGCACTACAGCATTCAAAAGTCCATGTAAATACATTGTGAAAACTTTTCATTTCTGGCTTCGTTATCTTAGAATAATTTTGATGCTGATACCTTACAAATTCTAAGTCATTTAACTGTTAACTTGTCGCAGCCTAGAATCACCTGAGAACAGGTCCTCAATTGAGGAATTTCCTAGGTCAGTTTGGCCTGTGGGCATGTCCAGGCTGGGTAGGGGTGGGGTGGAGGAGGACTGTCTTGGTTGCTAATTGATGCAACAAGGCTCAGCCAACGTGGGCAGCACCATTCCCTAGGCAGGCAGTCCTGAATTCTATAGGAATCTGACTGAGGGGCTAGAGAGATGACTCAGTGGTTAAGTGCCCAAGCTGCTCTTCCAGAGGACCAGAGTTCAGTTCCCAGCACCCACATCAGTGCAGCACACAACTGCCTGTAGCTCCAGTTCCAGGGGATCTGATACCGTTTTCTGGTCTCTACAAGTATCTGCACACATGTGGTACACACAGACATATACACATATACACACAAATAAAAATAAAAAGAAATATGTAAAAGAGAAATCTAGCTGAGCATAAGTCTGCCTGCTAGCCAGCAGGGAACATTCTCCACGTTTACGATTGTGATTGTGCTCTTTGGCTGTGAACTAAGTTCCTTGGTCAGAGGTAACGCTGTGTGGACTAGAAAGCAGGCCTGCTTTGGGTTCCTGCCTTTTCTTTCCTCAGTGATGGACTGTGACCTGGAATGCAAGATGAATGAATGCTTTCCTCCCCTCAGTTGCTTTTTGTTGGAGTATTTTATTACAGCAGGAGGTGAAATCAGAACATTGCATTTCTTATAAATATTATTGTGGCTCAATAGTCCCTTCATTCTACTGGTAAATAGTATTTTATGGACTACAAACACCAAAGTTAGTTTATCAATTTTTAAATTAATGAGAATTTTGAAGTTTTGGTGATAATGAATAATGTTGCTATGAGAACTCAATGTCAAGGCCTCATTTAAAAACATGTAACCATTCATCTTAGGAAGACTCCTAACAGTGCAATTGTGGGATTGTACATAGAATGTGATTTTTAACTCAATCAGCAAGCAACGTCAAAATTATTATCTAAAGTGCATGCATTGCTTTCCATTTATACAAGTAGTTCAAAGTGGTCTTATTTGCACAAACACTAGGGATTTTCAGTTTTTGTAATTGTAGTCATTTTAGTGTTGTTACAGGTCTTTCAAAATATCTTCTTTGGTACCTTATCTGTTCATTTTGTGTTCTTTCTTATTATTGAGGTATGAGAACTTTTAATAACCTAACTGGATGTTCTAAGCCTAGTAATACATAATTGATCAATAGCTACTCAATATACTTTACATTAGTACAATCTGATACCTTTAGTATAATAATATATCTGTAGAACCACAATAAAAATGGGAATACAGCTGTAGCTTTCCCAGCAGTGTTCATGTTCTTTCGAATTCTGCTCTCTTGTTCAATCCATTATTTCAAAGATACTAACTATGAATCTGCTTGCTGTCATTGCAGATTTGTAGGCATCTTCTGGAATCATTGTTTTCTTTCTATTTTTATCTGGCTTCTTTTTGTAAATATAGTAATTCAGGGATTTTCCAACGTTGTGTATATTTTTTTCTGTTAATTAACAATACTATATTGCCTGGATATTCCAATAGTTAGTAACTAATTCACTTATTGACCTTTAAATTATTTTCAGTGTAAGGGCACTAAAAAAATCTGGTATGTACTTACAGTTATAAGTATATATAATACTTTATTTAAAAACAATTTTTTTCTTTATTTATGTTGTCTATGTGTCTTGCTGTGTGTATGTGTGCCACGTGTGTGGGCACTCGCTAAGGCCAGAAGGTGTTGGATCACCTGGAGCTGGAGTTCCAGGCAGAGCTGCCTGACATGGGTGCTGGGAACTGAACTTGGGTCCTTTCAAAGAGCAGTATGTACACTTAACTGCTGAACCATGTCTCCAGCTCCATTAAATGCTTTCTTTTATATTAAGAAAATACATACAGTAGATTTTTGGTTTCCCCAAAAATTTCTCAACTTTCTTATGAAGGCTGTAACACAGTCTATTCACACAACTAACGTACAAGAGTTATAGATGTGTCACTATGTACCACACTTGGCATGGCCAGCTTTTTTCCACTTTAAACATTGTATTTGGTAATTTAAGGGTATCTCATTGTAGATTTAATGTATACTTCATAAGTGGATAGTTTAATGGATTATTTGTCATTCATGCATTTTCCTTGAAGTGTCCAAGTATTTTTCCCATTTTAATCGAGCTGTTTTCTTGTTATTTCATTTTGAGAGTTATGTCTTCATAAAGTCCTTTGTTAAACATAGGTTCTGAAAATACTTTTTTGTAACTGTGATTTCTCTTCAATCATCTGTTTATAAAAGAGGTCTATATTTTTAACGAGATTGTTTTTACTCATTGTTCATTCTCTCAGGGCCCTGCTGGTCATACAGGACTTGAGGAATCTGCTTATCACAAGGCCACAATGATTCTCTTCCATGTTTTTTCTAGAACTTTCATATTCTCAGATTTACAGTTAAGCATCTGATTTATTTGGATTGCAGGTGCATGCCACCACACTGCTTGCTAAGAATTTTACTCTAGGTGGGTGCTTAATTTTATCCAATGTTTTATGTGTATTTATTGACATGATCACAGAGGTTTTTTTTCTCTTTATTATACTAACATTATGATTTTCAATCATTCTGTTCATGAGATAAAACTCATTTGGCCTAGATGAACTGTCTTTTAAAAATACAGTTGAGATCAATTTACTAACTGTTACCAATTGGGATTACATGTACTCTGGCTGCTGGCCATGTAAGAAGAAGGCATGTGCCTTTTCATATAAAGTTATCGATTCCTTTCTAGGCACTGCCATGGCTATATTCCACAAACTTTCATGTTATGTTTCATTTTCATTCAGTTCAAACATTTTAGAATTTCTCTTGTGGTATTAGCTTTGACCTATAAGATTGAGTGCACTGTCCAATTTCAAATTAATTAGATATTTTCCAGACATCTTTCTTGTAACTGATTTAACATTTAATTTCATTTTGTCAAGAAATACAATTTAAATAATGTCAACTGTTTTAAATATAATCAGATTTGTGTTTTAGCCCATTATTTACGCTTCATTTCTTGAAGAGACTGATGTGTGTGTGTCTATCTACTACTTTGGTCAGAATTTGGTGGAAATTTCAATTAAGTATACCATTTGATAGTATTCAAATACTTTATATATTTTCAGAATTCAGCATAATTTTTGTATCAGTTGTTAAGAAAAGTATTGAAATGTCTAATTATAACTACTGGCCTATCTTTACTTTTGAGTTGTCAGTTTTTCTTTCATGTACATGTTATAATTGTTTCATGCCTATAAATATTTATAATCATAATCATTTTATTCCTTGCTTTATTGAACTATTTACATTATAAATGTCACCTACTGTCCTTAGCATTGCTTTTTAATACCTATGTATCTTCTAATGACTATTATCAGATGTTAGAGTAAAAAGTTTACTGCCTTCTTTAATGTAAAATGTTTCTAGTAGTAACAACATTCAATTGATCTACTGCCTCACTTTTAACTTTATTTTTACATTCTGTTCTTTAGTGGTTATTTGCAGATTACAAACAGACATCTTCAACATATTATTTTTTACTCAACAGTAAAACTGAACTTTCCCAGTAGATCATGCATTATAATTCCATTTACTCCCATTTTGTACTGTTATTGTCATGTGAATTCAATGTATTTAATTATAAACTAAAAATTTATAATAGCATCTTTTTACTTCATGACTAAGTTTTTTATAGAAGAAAAATACAATGACTAACATGAACATATATCCAAAAAGTTCCTGCATTTCCTGTATATCTGAGTCAACATCTGGAATCATTTCTTGACAGCTTACAGAACTTCCCGTCTTACCTGAAGTGTAGCTCTGTGAGCAAGAAGCTAGGTTATGTTCTATTGCTCTGAAAATGATCTTTATTGACCCTCATTGTAAAAACAGTTTCATTAAATACAGAATTTTTGGCTTTTTTCATTCAACATTTTGATCATTCCAATGTCAGCTGATTTTTACTCTCTCTGATGAGAAATCAGATGTTTGTCAGAGTGTACATTTTCCTTCTTTTCAAAGTATTCTCTTTATATTTTATTCTATCTATAGTGTGCCTTGTTCTGGCTTTCTTTGGGTTCACCTTAGGTAAATTTGTTAAACTTTGTAGTAGATCTCATTTCTTCAGTTACTCTTTTCTGTCAGTTTTTTCTTTCCATTCCTTTTGAAATTATAATTGATGTCACAGGCACTAGCCCAGCTTAAATTAAAATTTCTCTCTTGTTTAGTAATTTATTTTGCCCAGTTCTCTGAAACTTTTCTTCAAATATTTTTAGGTAGGTCCTGTTTTTATTGGCTGTTTTTTCTTGATCTACTTTAAATTACCTGATTTTTTTCCCTTGCATTCTGTCAAATTTGTTGTTTAGTACTTAATGATATTTTTCATTTGAGCCATTTTAGCTCTAGAATTTGACAGGTGGTTGTTCCTTTTCTCTGTTAGGATGCAATATCTCTTCACTCATTGATAGCACAGTTTTCTTTAATTCTTGGCACATTTTTTTGTTGTGCTGAGAACAGAAACCAGGGCCTTGTCCATATTATGCAAGTGCTGAATCTCTGAACTATAGCTCCAGCCCAACTTTTTTTAATCCCTTGAACAGAGTCTCTGGCTGCTTAATCCAACATATGGGCCTTTTTGAATGAGTTTTTACTAACTTCCTGTCTTCAGAGGTTTTGTTGTATTATCCCATTGTGTTGCACATCTGATAATTTTTAGTTGCAAACTGGGCACTATAGGTAATACTCTCTAATGACTGTGGAATTCATTTGACTCTCTGACTGCTGACTGGCATTGTTGTTGTAGATTATTTATCTGTCTCAATCTGCTGACATCTCTGCTCAGAAATCTAGACAAAGACCTTAAGAGATACACTGAACAACAGATCCATGGTGCACATCATTGTTTTCTAGTTATAGAGATACGTATGTCAAACAATTAAAAATTTTAATTATTAATGTTTTACTTTTGTCACTTTTAGTTATGAGAAACTTTTAAGTCTTATAAATTCATTGCTGTTGAGAAACAATAGCAGATGACTATGCTTCATTTCACTTTGCTATAAATTCAAATTCAGGTATCTAATAAAATGTGAAAATCTGAGAAATTATGGAATATACGTAAGTCTACAATAGGTATTTTAACCTGAATTAAGTATAACACAGTGTATGCATATACCAAAACATCATATCATTTCCTTAATCTGTACAAATTTTGTGGCCATATACCAGTGAAAAAAGATAATATAACAACTTCTCTAGATGACATTATTTTATCAAAATACTATAGCATCAGTTTAATGTAACACGATTAAAATACAAAACCTAAAAGAATCAGGACTCCTATATAGCTTTGATACTATGTAATAAAGCGAAACATTTGCTCTTTATAACACTGTGCATGGATCATATTACCGATACTCACTTTGTTCTCACAACACACCATGCCTCTTCTAGAACATAATAATTCACATGTAATTCCAACAATTTATCTCTCACTTCTATTGCAGATTTTCGACTATATGCAGAATAAACCATTTTTGTTCGAGCCCTTTAAATGTAAATAACAACAATCACAAACTGAGCTTTAAAAAATGATAATAAAAATGATAATAGACTAAAGAAAAGCTGTGAGCAAATTGATATCTCAGCCCTTACTGGATGGAGAGTGGTATTTATCACCAAAAATAATGCAACTACTTTTAAGACATCAGTTTTCACATATCTACTTATATTTTGAATATGTTGGAACTTACAAAAGTTTGATTTTTGTATATGATGCTTGTTAGTAAATGAGCTCATCTATAGTTGTATTGGGTGGCAGGGTGATCTCTCAGGATAGAAAATTTGCTTTACATAATGCACAAAGTAGTAACATCTAGTCTATTACTAGAATGTAGTCATATCGAAGCTGAGGCTAGAAAGGGTACAGAATTCAGGAGGTAACATCCTCTGCAGAAGCTCAGAAACAGAATTAGCTGAATACAGCGAACACAATCTTTAGACAGACGGTGCCCAGGTTTTCACCGCAGTTGGGAAAGCACTGCGCAGAATACCGGGGAGCAGGATAGTCACCCAAATGTGGCACAATACAAATTTGGGGCATAAGTTGAAGTTCTTGTTTCTCATTCTCTGAGAAAACAATGTTACTTAGGATTTTGTGTGTGCAGAATTTAAATTACCACAACCAGACAAAAAGCAAAATAAATTGAAAATTCCCTTCTAACAATATGCCAAAAATTGATTAAGAGGGAAAGATTCCCTTAACAGAACAATCAAAATAATTTTTAAAACAAGATATATAAGGTAAAAACAACTTTTCGATCAGATAATTTCCATAATCAGCCAAGAAATTCCCTAAATTTTATTCAAACATTTTATAGCAAGTTTCATGCTTTTTTTTAACCTGTGAGAAAAAGTCTAATCATTGACCACCAAGATCTGGAATGATTCTGAAATCGGGCTTAGGGACCGAGGAGTTTAGAGAAGTGCTGGAAAACTATGCTGTGAATCAAATCCACTCTGCTTTCTGCAACTCTGAATTAGGAGCTGTGTTATCATTCTCTGTCTCTGTCTCTCTTTGTGTCTGTGTGTGTGTGTCTGTGTGTGTGTGTGTGTGTGTGTGTGAGAGAGAGAGAGAGAGAGAGAGAGAGAGAGTCCTTTTGTTTCTCTTTGTGTAACATTCTGTGTTCTCATTCTCGCCCCTGCCGTGTGTGTGCGTTTGTGTATATGTGAGTCCTTTTGTTTCTCTTTGTGTAACTTTGTGTTCTCATTCTCTTTCTCTCCCCGCCCCTTGTGTGTGTGAGAGAGTCCTTTTGTTTCTCTTTCTCTGTGTATCTCAGTTTCTCTTTTTCTCTCTCTCTCACACACAGACACACACATATACATGTGCACACACCATACATATGTGAACCATTTTTGTGTATACATGTGCATGGTTTATGCATGTGTTCATATGCATGTGTGCATGAGTGTGTATGCCTGGAGGCCATGGTTGGACACTATCTGTCTTCCTTGATCACTCTTTACCTTGTTCTTTGAGACAGGGTCTTTCACTGACTGTAGTTTGTCAGTTTAGGTAGTCTGGATGGCCAGTGAGCTTCAGAGATCTACCTAGCTCCATCCAACAAGTGCTGGGGTCACAAATGTGGGCCACTGTACCTGGCTTTGGGTGTAGGGGCTCTGAACTCAGGTCTTCATTCCAGCAAGAACTTTACTGACTGAGGCATCTCTCCAGTCCCTAAAACACTATTTTTTTTGCTTGTATTTTTCAGATTTCAGCGGTTTAGTTAAACCTGCTTTAGAAGAAATAGGTGCCTTTTGTCATTTCTGGAAGACTGTTATACAATTTTTTAAAATTTTCTTCAGACAAAGTCTCATCCTGTAGTCCAGATTGACTAATTGGTACTAATTATGTTGCAGAGGCTGGCCTTGAACACTGCAATCCTCCTGTCTCAGCTTCCCATGTGCTGGGATTATGAAGCATGTTCCCATGTCCAGCTTCATTAAGTATCTTTTTTTGGAGACAGAGTCTCCTTATTGTCTTAGCTAGCCTAGAACTTGCTATGTAGACCAGTATGGCCTGGATCTCACAGAGCTCCCCCTGCTTCTGCCTTCTGAGTGCTAGAATTAAAGGTGTACACTACCACACCTGGCTTTTAATCATTTACCTTTTTTTTAGGCTGACCTCAAACTCAGAGAAATCCACCTGCCTCTGCCTCCTGAGTGCTGGGATTAAGGCGTGCGCCACCTCACCTGGCTCATTTATCTTTTTAAACTTCCAGCAAGGAATATGAAAATGAATGTGTAAATGTGTGTGTATATATGTGTATTTTAAACCTTTCTTTACTTAGGAACCAGTAGCAAGTAAGAAGCAATTCTGTTCAACGTGTTCAGTTGACTGCCCACCTCAAGTCTGCATCCTCATAATGTGGGTGGTTCACGATGGGATGGAGTGTAGACAACTTGATGCTTGCCATTGTGGGCATGGTGCCTGCAAAGACAGCATCTAGGAAGCAAGACCACACTGCTCAGTAAAACATTTAAAGAAGACTACAGTTAAATCTATCCCTAATGTCTGAATGCTAATCAGAACGACTGATATAAACACTTATTCAATATACTCATTGCCTTCTATAATAGTATTTAACTTTTCTTGGTACTAGGAACTGCGCACAATATTTATAATGTTTTTACATTTATTTATTTATTTTTATTTATTTATTCATTCATTTATTTTATTTAATGATTGTGTATGTGTGTGGGCATGCATGTGCCATGGCCCACTTACAGAGGCCAGAAGACAACTTTCAGGAGCTAGTTTTCTCCTTCTATCAGGTGGGTTCTGGGAATCAAACTCAGGTTGTCAGGTTTGGTGCCAGGCACCTGTACGCACTGAGTCATCTTACTGGCCCTGTGCACAAAATTTTTATAAAGATTCAAAGACTTAGTTTGAAGGTCAACTCTACGAATTCTGCATTTTTCTTATTGTGCAGATGAAAAGGCACAGACAGCAAAGTTAAGTGACTTGCTCAAATGGCACAATTAAAACACTTTAAGATTCATTCTCTTAGCTACTTTGCCAATGTTTCCTGCCATACTGTAAGAGTCAGAGCTACAAGTAGAAAACTAGGGAGAAAGAAAATTTTCCTATCTTCCTATGAATTGTATAAAAGGACATTTTCATGGTACATTTCTTCAGTGATTCTTTTGTGTTGTAGATTGTAGTCATGTGGAATTGCTAGAAGAAAACACTTGTTTTTCTTCAAATGATCTTTAAATATTAATATTTGAGTATAGTTGCAGTTTAATTTTCTGTCATTTATATACCTTCACAAATCATTCATTACCTGTTAGAATATATGTTTTTAAAGTATGAATTGGGTCAAAACTAGGATTATATAAACATCAACTATGTCAGCTTCAGCTTTCTCTCTTGGCAGACTTACAAAAAAGCTCACTTCTTGATGTTTTTTATACAGTAAGAGCTTATACAATAATAAAGGTTACCAAATTTAGTCTATTAAAAATCAGTAAGGAACAGAAGACGTATTATTCAGGTCTACTGAAATACCTTGAATATTTTCTTTCAGATATGACCAAGGATTTTAAGTGCAACTGAATGAAGCACAGTATCAATAACTACTGGGAGCACAGAAGACCACAGTGTCAATTTTGTCCTTTAGTGGTGGAGTAGTGGACTGCAGCTGAGGGTCATCACCTCTGCCGGCATCGCTGCAGCTGAGGGTCACCGCCCCAGTCCTAAGAGAGTCTCATGGCTAGCCTAGGAAGAGACCACGACTCAAAACCAAAGCACCATTTCTACTGAACGTGAATTTCTTCCACATCATTGTAAAGTCAAACAACTGTAAGGAAAACTACTGCAAGTAAGGACTGTACATACACACAACACACACACACACACACACACACACATGTGCACACACAAATGCGTACATACATGGAATGTTTAGCTGTGTGCGTAACAAACTTCTATTTTGTTATATACACTAAATATGTATAATACCTTACCTGGCCTGGTATTGTATCTGATCCACTGTATGAGTTCTTCCTGGGGCAGGTTAGAAAACTCTCCCATTATGCTCCATTGGTTATGGAGGTTTGCACAGCCTTGTATTGACATCATAATCAGAATACCGAAGACAAGATTTTCAAAATGAACTCTGCAAAAAAGCCAGCCAAAGAGCTGAAATAAAAAGACCATTTATTTATACTTCTTAAATGAAGAGTACTAGAGAATCAAAAGTACACCCTCACCTTACTACTGAAACCAAAGTGCATTACCTTTAATGTTAGCCCATGAATGCACAGAATATTCATCTGCTACTTAAAAACAACAAATGCACTGCAGTTCACTGGGTCCAGCTATAAATGGAAATTTCTGTCATTTCAAAAAATTAGGAAGGAATAATATCTGATTTTTCTAATACTGATTTGAAGCCAGATGTAATGCTTGGTGACTAGCAATGTGAAATATCCTAGAACTAAACCCTTTAACATTTGGTTGCTTTTTGCAAACATCGTGAGTAACTAGGGGAACCCATTAACACTGGGGGAACCCACTAACACTGGCATTCATGTTCAGTTCAAGAAAATCGGCACTGTGATACTGTCAGTTCAAATTGGTGCTTCTAGGAGCATGGAAGTTGTATCTAACCTATATGGTTATCGTAAGGATATCCCAGAACTGACTATTGTTCTTAGGAATTCTGTGATATGAGCAGGACTACACTTATAGCAACCACTCTGTATTTCCTTGGTATTTGAAAAGTACTGTTGGGAGGTGTACTAGGAAACACCAGCATTGACTTAAATTCTAAAAGTCTTTGTTTGTGGCTATAATGCTAAAATAGGAGAAGGAATGCTAATCATTCATCACAAAAACGTCATTTACAATCTAGGAATAATTTTCAAAGCCACTTTTCTTACTACTAGTGAATTATCAATGAAAATTTAAAGTTGTTGATATTGGCTCCCTTAAAACATGGAAGAGGAGGTAGAATGCAGTGATATGAAGGGAAAAAGGGAATAATAGAGTAGGAAGGGTTAAATGTGGTATGAAATGGGAGGACTGGGCAGAGGAGGAACTATGGGGAAGGATAAGTAACACTAAAAGCCTTTAGAAAAAAACGTATGGGAACCTACCACTGTAGAAGCTTTTTAAAATATTTTATTTATTATTTTTATTTTATGTGTATGTGTGTATTGCCTGCATGTAGGTAAGTGCACCCGTGTCATGCAATGCCCACGGAGGACAGAAGAAGCTGTTGGATCCCCTGGAACTGGAGTTATGGACAGCTGTTAGCTGCCATGTGGGTACTGAGATCTGACCCCAGGTCTTCTGCAAGAACAGTCAGTGTTATTAACTGCTAAGCCATCTCTCCAGCCCTGTAGAAGCTTCTTAAAGTACATACATATACATCATAAAATGATTGATAGGCATTCATATGCTAGCAATGTAAAAGCCCAATGCTAGGAATAGACTCCTTTTGAGGCTGTTGACCAAGGTTCCCATAGACCCTCAAACACTACTGGCCATTGCCCCTGCACTTAGTTACCCACTAGAACTTCGTGGTAAGACACTATTGCTAAGGGCTCTTCTTACTTGAACCACAGAAAAATCAAAAATCAAGCTTGTGTTGATTTCAAAACTTCATCTCTACTGGCTAGCTTTCATCATTCTGGAAGGTGCTTTTCATGCTACCAAGGAAAAATATTAATCATCAGCATTACTCAGCTCTGAATCTTGCATGCTTCAACAACTGGCCTGATAAGATATGCCTTTTTGTGCAATAGTGGCATGAACATTATGGGAGTATCCAATCACTTTCTAATTGGGTTTAAGGTTCATTTCATAAGACGAAGCCCATACCTGACATTGATGTCAGACCTAGGAAGAAGCGGCTACATAGGCCACAGACCACAAGGGAGTGCCTAATACAATTATCCTGTTAAACAGACATAGTATTAAAGTGACTTCTAATGACTTAGTGTTGTACCTATTGATAAATGCATTTCTCACCTCTCACGAGAGAAGCTTCCTTATGCAGCAGATGGTGATTAACACAGAGATCCACAACTGGCCAATGTGCAGAGAACAAGAGACTACAGAGTGCTTATTCCTGAATAGGACACCTATATCAAATTTCTGCCCCTCAAGAGCTCAGGGATTATTGCAGAAGAGGGAGCAGAAAGATTGTAAGAGCCAGAGGAGGTGGAGGACCACAAAGAAACAGAGTTTTCCAGACAACTAGTCAGTTGCTCATATGAACTCACAGCAACTGTGAGAGCATGCATAAGTCCCATGTAAGCTCAAGCCAAACTAAAGCCCAGCAAAGACATGGAGAAGTGGGTAAGAAACCCTAGCCCTATGTAAGGAAATACTGGAAATCAATGGCTGCTAGAAAGGGGAAGAGTCAGTCTCTTTTAAGGATGTGACTCTTGTCATTCCAGTGGATGGATCTATACCGAAGGACACTGAGGTCACAAATTTAACTCTATGGGCCTTAATATATATAAAATGAATACATGAATTTATTCAGGGGGTTTTAAGGTGGTACGGATAAAGGAGGGGATCTAAATACAGTCAAAATATATTGTATGAAGTTCAAAAGATTCACTAAGAAAAACTTCTTGAAAAAAAAAAAAGTAGAACACTTCATGTTTCTGTGTTGTGGATTACCCAGCAAGGCTGTGGCAGCTCCTCTGTGGTTGCTATAATTATTATAATCACACAAGAGTGGATTCCTCACCTGTCGGGAGCAGATCAAGGAAGCCATAATGCACATGTGTGGTGTCAAAAACAGCTTCAGCCTCATAATTAAAATGGCCAGAGCCATGAATGCCAGCAACTGCAAGGTGTGGAAAACCAGCTGCAGAAACACAAAACGACACGACATTTTTTTACTTCAAATACTTTTAAAAACTAACAAATAAAAATATCTTAAAATTATTAATGACAAGAGGAGAAACATCTAGCCTAGCATTAAACCTATTAATATAGAGTCATTTATTCAACTAAGAGTAATCTTTGCCAGGTACTGTGCTGAGTTCTTAGAAGACTGAGCAATGGCTGTCCTTATGAGGCTCACACAGTAGCACATTTAGCTAGGAAGGAGCGACAGGAAGTCACTGCATGGCAATCTATGAAGATGTGCCAAGTACAAGAAAGTAACTAGGGGAAGGAAACGAGCCAGGCAGTACAGAGCGTGAGCGGCCGAAGCAGAGGAACTGTGTTTTCAGAAGGATCATCAAAGGAGCCCTCACTGAAAAAGGGACATCTGAGCAAGGGTTTGCACAAAGTAGGAGGAAGACAGAGGAGCAAAATAATAAATGTAGAAAGCATCACACATATATGTGTATTTCAGTTAACAACAGAAATAAAAGCAGCACATATGATAGATTATTCTAAGAGTAGAATTATGTAAATATTTGTATTAATCAGTATCATATGGTAGTGAGTAAAGCTGGGGCCCTACTGAGGAAAGATTTCAAACAAGACTTTTTAATAGATATATTCATAAAACACCAACTTCCTTCTAGAAAAATGGACAGTGAATACAAGGAATAATTAATTCAACAAAAAGTCAATGGTGGATAAATATTTATGTTTTAATTTACTGATCTGCAAATAAAATAAAGCTACAGGTATTTTCATTCATGAAAAAAATATTAAACTAATAGCAAGTGTTAGAATGAAATGAAACAAAGACTAGAATATTAAATTGATGAATTTCTGTGATTTCAAAATATTTATCAAAATGCTATAAAACAGCCAATTACTTTGACTTAAACTTTCATTCTAGGCCTTTAGCTAAGAGTGTAGTCAAAAATGCACAGACGCATTATCATATAAAATATTGGAGTATATTTTAACGACCTAAATAAGAAACAAACTTGATGACCAATTCAGAGGAATACATAGCAGGCAGATGGTCATCTAAATGTAGATATTTAAAGATTATTTAGTCTTAGTATATAAGATTGTGTGTAATGGAATATTATTCTATTTTTAGAAAACCATTAAAAGCCCATGTGTTTATATATGCACATGATGCAAGGACAACAGCATAAAAAATACAAAAATGTTAACAGATTACTTCTGGTAATTTTTCTGCATTTCCCAGGTTGGCTTTCAAATCTTTATAACTATTCAATTGTAAGATCAGGCTGAGGGAGAAGGTTCAGCAGAAATGATTACTAATGCCAAACAACTCAAGCACCACTGGTGCGTGACAGGAAGGGCACACCTTGTCTTAGCTTTCCAGTAGAATTTAATACATAAGTCTATCAAGCATGAGAGCTTTTACCTCACTGTGATCAAGGAGCTGTTTTCTGGAAGAAAATTAAAAATGGTCTATTTACTGAATGTCCATTACAATATATTTATGTAATAATATATTTATTTATTCTTGAACTTTTAAAATTTGATTCTAAACTATAAAGTGCAAAATTTTAAAACATTATGCAATATTACTAAAAAAATTACAGTAGTTTAAAAGGAACAATTTATAGTCATTCTTCTTAAGTTGTATTAAAAAGCTATTCTTTAATTAAATTAAAATAATAATCTCTGGAATTAAGGTACTAATCTCTATACTTCTGGAAGGAAAAGAAAATTGACACACTTTCTTTTAAAGAGTTAACCAATGTACAATAAATACAGTACTTCAGATAATTCCTGTTGGACTTTTGACTTACTTTAGTTTTTCAAATTATAAACTATATGAACATCTTTGTACATAACTTGGTAAATGTCTCAGTAGTTCCTCAAGATAAAATTCTAGAAAAATTCATGTGTAAAGCACAGAAATTCCTGAAAAATAATCCCAATTCTCTGCACACTCACAGTCACCCCCCACTAGTGTTCCAGACAATGTACAGTGAACAACACAGTATGAGTAGTGTAGAAACAATTCTCCTGCATACAGAGTTTGTGTTAGATTGATACAAGAATTTAAAAATGCCTGTCTTATTACCCTGTAGAAAAGACTGGGTACTTTATAACTGGCTTTCAGGGAAGAAGAAGCCCTCTAACACAGAGAAATAAGAGTATGTTCAGGGGGAATTCATGGTCACAGAGATCTGCAGATCTGGTCAGAGACAAGTCTCTTGGGACAGCAGTTAAGGCAGGTGCCAGATGACTCTGCCTTCCCCGTAGGTCTTTCTCATCTATGCAGCCAAGGGAGGAAGGTTCCCCCATTATCCCCAAGTCTTCTAGTCACAACAGAATCCTGCAGTGAGCTGCTACATAGAAATAAAAGACCTGGCAGGTAAGTAATTATCATCACCATCCTACTGATATGAGTATACATAAATCTAGTAGTTACTTTAAACAAAATACAAATAGCATGAAAGTGAATTGCCAAGATAAATGGGTAAAAACCTCTGACCTCTCAGGAGACCTTAATATAAGAAATGCAAATTTTAACTCTTATTTTCAGAGGCATTTGAAAAGATGTCACTGCTGTATAGTTAGATGGGCTGACTTGAAAGGAGACTTTCAGAAATCTGGGGTAAACAGATTTGCCTAACTTGAAACCAGAAAATAATGTTGAAAATAGGATTTATACAGTTAAAATTGGGAACACTGAAAGATTCAGCTACAGAATTTTTTGAGACTATTGAGGAGGAAAAGAGATAACATGATTAAAGCAACATTAAAAGTTCCCAAAAGACAGGTTGGTACAAAGAATGAGGCAGCAGCAACGTCCTGAGTGGAAGTATATGGGTGTTCAGATTAAACTAATCAATCAATGAATTAATAACAATCCCTGCACAGAAAAACCATCTAAAATACATTTTTCAGAGTACAAACTTACACAGGATTTTAAAATTCTGTAATGTACAATGCTAAAAAAGAAATAGCATATACAAAATGCTGAGTAAAGCCCAGACATGTCTACTAAACAATCCACTGATCAAAGAAGGGTACAGACTAAGTGCATCTTCAGGTAAGAAAGCACTCAGAAGTTGCAGTAGAGACCTCAGAATGTTGATGTCAGGGCCATGAGAATTCTGCTGAGGAAAGCTGCAGGCATGAAGTGGCTCTGGCCCAAGATACAGAGTGGGTGCAGTCAGAGGCAGCACTGGACAGATGGTGCTACCCAAGATCTCTGGGCCTAAATGACTCCATGAGTATCACCTGCCAGACATGGAGCCACAGAATTTGATGTTCATTCTGCTGGGCTGTGGTCTTGCTTTGGTCCAATCTTTCCTTACTATGACCTACTTCTCAGTTCTGGAATGGAAATATTTATTCTATGCCAGTGTATGCTGGAAGAACGTAACTCGTTCTTTTACAAAGATCTATGTTTATGTGCATGTGTGTCTGTATGAATGTATGCTTATGTATGTTGTCAAGTGCTCATGAAGACCATAAGAGGGCATCAGATCCCCTGGAGCTGGAATTATAGGTGATTGTGAGTCACAAAATATGGATGCTGGGAATCAAACTCAAGTCTTCTGGAAAAACAAGTGCTGAGCCAATTCTCCAGCTCAAATTTTTCTTTATGATTGTACAGTGGCTCATAGTTAAGAGATGCCTGAGTCTCAGGAAGGACTCTGCACTTACACTATTGACTACAGAGACATTTGAAATTGAACTGAATATTGAACTGAACACATTTTAGATCATGAGATGGTCATTAGCCTATGGGGGCCAGGGGCAGAATGTGGTCATTTGAACATGAAATGTTCCCATATGATCATGTGTCTAAACACTTGGCCTCAGGCTGGTGATGTAGCTTTGGAAGGATGTGAAACCTTTAGGATGTAGAGCCTGACCAGAGGAAGCAGGTCACTAGCAGACATAATGGGACCAGCCTCCTGCTTCTGCAGCCACACCTTCTCTGCCATGATTGACTGTATCCCCTCAAATTATAATCCAAAACAGAACCTTTCTTTCTTCAGTTACTATTTGTCAGGTGTTTGTTGTTGTTGTTTGTTTTCTTTGTGTCACCGCAATGAGAAAAGTGATCAGTGTTGGGAGGTTGTGGGTCATTGGGGATTTGCACATAGAAGTGAGTTTTCATACTACACTTTGGAGTTCTCAGGAGAGAATTCTTGAGGGCCCCCTCCTCCCTGTTTCCCTTCTCTCCACTGCCTGTTTTTCTCTCCATCTCTCTCCTGGCTCAAGATGTGACCATTGCAAATGAACTAAATATAATATAAAATTAGCAAAATAAAGGAAATAAAAAAATAATAGAGAATATAAACAAATAAATAATAGAAATAAAAATAAGGAAGCTAAAAGTTGGGGTTTTTCAACAGGTAAAATCAACAAACCCTTAACTAGACTAAGAAAAGAGAAAACTGAAATACATTTATAAAGGAAAGAAGATATTCAGTTAATGCTGTAGCATTTAAATTATTTTAAGAGAGTTACTAAATATTTTTTACCAAAAATGTCAGTCTCTCTCAAACTCTCCCATAATATTAAAGAAGGAACACTTACACACCCATATTATGAACTCATCATTATCCTTATAACACAGCCAAAGATACCACAAAAGAACCACAGGCCCCTGTCTCTGATGGATATATTAATAGATGCAAAAATCCTAAACAAAATACAAGGAAACAGAATCTAACCCCACATTGAAACGGTTGTATAACACAGGCAAGTGGATCCTCCCTTTGGGATGCAAGAAGGATTCAACATATAAAAATCAACTAGTATGATTCAACACATTAACAGAATAAAGGATGCAAATCACATGACTGTCTCAGAAGAGGCGGAAAAAGCATCAAACAAAATTCAACACATTTTCATGACAGACACTCTCAGTAAAAAAGTGGTTCAAAATAATAAAGAACTTAATATAAAACTATGATAGATAACTTTAAACTCAACTGCAAAAAAACTGAAAGATCTTACTCTAGGATCAAGAACACAGCAAAGATAACCACTTTCACCACTTCTATTCAACACAGTACAAAGCAATAGGCTAGAAAAAAAGGCAAAAAGGCATCTAAGTTAGAAAGGAGATAAGATTATCCATGCTTTCAGACATGATGCTACATACAGAAAACACTGGCGTTTACCCCCAAAATGAATGTAATAAAGTTGTAGGATGCAAAGTCAACACATACAAGAATCAGCTGCATGTGTGTACACTGAAAATGAAGTGTCTGAAAAAGGAATTAAGAAAACAATCTTAATGACATCAAAAACTATAAAGTTAAATAATTCTACAAAATACTGATGACAGACATTTAAAGGACATTTTATGAATTAGAAGTCTTAATATTAAGCTGTTCATACCGCCCACAATTATCAGCAGGTGCAACAAAGTATCAAAATCACAATGCATTTTTTGTAGAGGTTTAGCAGGGCTATCATTGTTATTGATAGGGCTATGAAGATGCAGTTGTTTTTTGTTAGTTCAATAATGATTATTCATTTGGGTAGGAATCCTGTAAGGGGTGGTAGACCTCCTAGTGAAGAGAAACAAGTAACTCTAGATATGAAATCACAAAAGGCCACATAACCACATCAATCTCAAAGGAAAAAAACCCCACAAATATGCAATCACCATACATCCAAAATTCAGTACAGATTACAAAGCCACAGTAATGAAAAAATATACTTCCCCAATCTCAGGGGATATTGCAGAAGAGGGGGCAGAAAGAATGTCAGGAGCTGGAGACAGAGAGAGCTGTGAAATGCTGCCTTACATGGCCAAACTCACAGCAGCTGTGGTTACTTGTACAAGACCTGTACAAGTTCAAGCTAGTTTAAAATTCCAGCACGAACTGGAAAATTCCACTAAGACCTTACCCCAGTTTAGAAGCTCTGAACAGTTGATGGATGCTGGAGGAAGGAGAGTCACTTTTCTTTGGGAGGATGTGTAGTGGTAGATTGCTTATGTTCCAGTGGACGTCCATGAACATATGGGCAGCACTAATTGGACATGCTGGGTTTTAAAAAGTAAAAAAAAAAAAAAAAAAAACCATAGGACTTGAAGTTGGGAGGGGATGTATTGAGGGAGGGTTCTTGGGGGAGTTGGAGGGAAGGAGTGGGAATTTGGATACAATCAAGATATAGTGTATTCATGTATGGAATTTTCAAAGAATGAATTAAAAATATTACTTAAAAACTATAGTATGGGCAAAAAGGCAAATGTAGATTGGCAGAATAGAGACAATTACAGAAATAAATCCACACATATGTGATCAATGGGCCTTTGACAACTACTTTAAGACTATGTAATGGGAAAGCGTAGTTTCCAGAAAATGATCCTCTTTAAGCTGCATTTACGCAGGTAAAGGAAAACATTGAACCCCTATACAATATCCCCAACAAAAGTAAATGGATTAAAGATTTGGACATG